GACTCAAGAAATTGAAAAACCTAAAATATCACTTTTCAAAAATTTTTACTTTTTGGTCAAAGTTAACGAGCAGCTCAACGACAAGGTTAACAGTTCGGGGCAAGTTTGACAGGTCAGACTGGTTTGGGTTGACTCAGGCCAGTTCAGGTTGCCTCGATTTGATTCGAGTTGACTTAGATTAGTTTGAGTTGACTCAACCTGGCTCTATAAAGCTCACTAGACCATAAACAAGCCCCACCTACGCTATCGGTGCCTGGCAACGTGTGATGACAATGAAAAGGCAGGTTTGGATGGCGAAGCATCCCTCGATCAACCACACACCAATATCGACCCAATTCAAAAACTAATCAAGCCAAAACATGGGGAAAATATTCAAACAAAGGCGACGAAAGGCTTACCCATGGCAAACGATGAGAAAGACGATGGTGGATGACGAACTCGGTCGGGTTTTGGGCATACAACGACGAGAAGTTTGGTTGCGGTGGCAGTGAGGCGAGCCGATGAGCGAGGCGACCGTATTTTACAGTTAACCAAGGCGACGGGGGTTTCAACGGGTTCTCCCAATTTGTGACAGATGACGATCGATTTGGATGATCTAAGGGCTGAGTTGAAGTCGTCGGTCAATGGAGAGTCCATTGATGGTGATGGAACGTCGAACGAAGGACATGCGACGACGGTTAGTGAGGTGGCGGGTGCGATGACTAAGTATTTTGTGGATTTGGGGTTACACAAAAAATAGGGGAGGAGGTTCTGATTTTGGGATTAAAATCAAGCCTAAACCAATAAAACCTATATTAAACTATACACAAATAGTGACTTAGGGTAGATGATAGAGAGATGGTTGTCAATGCCCTAGATCCCGAGTTCAAACCATCACAACCATTAACTTTTCATTTTTTAAAATTTTTCCACTGACCCAAAAATTGGGTAAATTCAGGGCCAAGTCACTGAACTTCCCAAACTTACGAGGTTAACCTAGAATATTTCAAAACTACACAGTTCGGTCCCTTAATTAAATAAAATAATTTAAATAAACTTTACATTAAATTCAGGGTGTGACGGAAAGTATGGTCAACTCAATGTGTAACAATGTATTTCGAATTTAAAACCTAAAAACAAATAGTTCTCTAGTTTCCTCTTAATATAGCTCTACAACTATAATGTTTGTTGAAGATTACGATTTTCCCGTGATGAACGATGGTCGTCGACAGTTGGTCTTAATGGTTGTTGGGGTGCAATTTCAAATTTATATAAATTGGGTATTTCAATCTGAAACAAATAAAAAGTACTAAATTAATTATAATTTTTAATAAAAAATATAATTTAATTATATTTCTATTAAAATTATAATAAAAGATTAATTGTGGATAAGTCATTATACTTTTTACTATTTATTTAATAACGTCAATTTAGCTTGTGGTGTGTATCGGTATGTCATGTTAGTGGTGTGTTTCGATGTGCGACGTTCTCTCTATACTTATCCTTTAGAAAAAAATTCTAGAATGGCTCACATCAAAACATGTCACTAATGTGATATATCGATGTATACCATAAGTTAAATTATTCTTATTAAATAAATACTAAAAATTATAATGTTCTATCTATAATTAATCCTTAATTATAGTTTAGTTTAATTTTAATAGAAATATAATTAAATCATATTTTTTTATTAAAAGTTATAATTAATATAGTAATTTTATTTGTTTAGGATTGAAACACCTAGTTTATATAAGTTTACAATTGCATCTCAATAACCATCAAACTAATCGAATGGCTGTCACCGTTCATTGCCGAAAAATTGTATTCTCCAACAAATACTACCGTCGGAGAACTATTTGTTTCTTGGTTTTAAATTCAAAATCCGTGGCAAGGTGGTCGATGAGAGTTGTCGATGGGTCTTCACTAGATTGCACTAAATCCCTCGAAAAGCTTGGGCCCTTTTTCGAAGTGTTGTGTTTAAAATTCGAACCTGAGAAGCTTAGGTTATGGTTTAACAAGTTTCTTGGGTTGGTTTTGAAAGAGATTTGTACCGAAGGTTGATTTTGGCCTATTCCTCCATTGCTTGTAGATGGACAACCTGTGGATCTGTTTAAATTTTTCTTGGCCGTAAAAGAGAATTATGAATATAATGTTGTTTCGGAAAGTGGGTTATGGGATTCAGTTGCCAAAAAACTAAGTTGGGTTTAAATGTAGCTTCATCGGTTAAGTTGGTTTATGTGAAGTACTTCATTTCATTAGAGAGATTATTGGAAAAAACTATTAAAAGTGAGGAGTCAAAGAATGAATCGTATTGTAGTGGTCAGTTGACGGAGTTGGGAGCTAAGCTTAAGGAGTTTTTGTTGGAATCAAAGAAGAAAGTTATGGAATATTCACAAGTAGGGGAGAGTATAGTAGCAGGTTTAGATGGAGGAGAGAAATGTATAAAAGGTAAACAATTTATTCATATTGATTTGACAAAGAGGATTTTGCGTTATGAGGAAGTTGAAATTTTACAGAATGATGATGATCTAAAGAACATGGTGTTTAATTCAGAGTGGATAAGAGGTTTGTTTTAGTTGATTACGATGAAGATATGCTTTCAGATATGGCGAAAAGTGTGAACTCAATGTGTAACCATGGATTTCGAATTCAAAACCTAGAAACAAATATTTCTCTAGTTTCCTCTTAATATAGCTCTGTAACGGTAATGTTTGTTGAAGATTACGATTTCCCCGCGATGAACGGTGGTCTGCAGTTGGTCTTGATGATTGTTGGGATGCAATTGCAAATTTATATAAATTAGGTATTTCAATCTGAAATAAATAAAAAGTACTAAATTAATTATATTTTTCAATAAAAAATATGATTTAATTATATTTCTATTAAAATTAAAATTAAATTATGATAAAAGATTAATTATGGATAAGTCATTATACTTTTTAATATTTATTTAATAAGGACAATTAGCTTGTGGTGTGTATCGGTATGTCATATTAGTGGTGTGTTTCGGTGTGCAACGTTTGCTCTAGACTCATCCGTTATGTTAGATTAATTTCTTTATGACAAATTTGAATTGAGATCAAGACGAAAATTCTCAATGTGATTTGAGATAATAATGTAATAATATTCTTTTATATTTTTTAAATTAGGTATCTTTTCACACAAAAAAATGAAAATTATGTGTATGTGTATGTCATATTGAGTACGAGTTTTTATAGTAAAAGTCAAGTTGAATCTTAAGTCGAATGAAACCTCTCTAAACACACATAAGGTTAAATGATTAATTATGTCGTCTTATATGGCGATTCTACGATGAGGCAACTGGTTCAAAATTAATGTAAGGCGTGACTAGTTCAATGGGTTATCGGTCAAAATATAAAATGTTATCCGATACAAACCTAAAATGTTACATATTTAGTATAAAACACAGATTTCAACATAAAATGTTACCCTCGTTTATCAAATAGAAAAATTTCTAAACTCATGGTAACTTTTTAGGTTTTAACTTAAAAGATTACCCAAACTACATGATTTATTATAAAATGTTACCCCTTCCACCATGAAAGTTACATATTGGATAAGAAAAATGATTCTAACCTAAAATGTTACCCTTTTTTCTGAAATGAGAAAACTCTAAATTCATGGTAACTTTTTAGGTAGATAAAAGTTACCTAAGCTACATGATTTATTATAAACATTGTTCAACCTAAAATGTTAATGTTTCAACCTAAAAATTAGGTAATCAATAAGAAATAAGGTTTCAACCTAAAATGTTACTATTTTTTCTCAAATGAAAAAAACTCTTAACATAATTTATTATAAATATCGTAACATTTTAGGTTTTATGTTACCGTTTCAACCCAAAAAGTTATGTAATAGGTAAGAAAAACGGTCCCAACCTAAAATATTACCATTGGTTCTCAAATGAAAAAAAAAATCTTACCCCATGGTAACTTTTTGGTCCAAACTATACGATTTATTATAAAAATTATAACATCTTAGGTTTCAACCTAAAATTTTACTTGTTCCAACGAAAATGTTACACGATCTATAAGAAAAATAGTTCCAACCTAAAATATTACTCTAGTTCCTTAAATGGAAAACCTCAAAACTTATGATATTTTTTGTTTTAACCTAAAAAGTTACTCGAACTACATGATTTATTATAAACAATGCAACATTTTAGGTTCCAACTAGAAATGTTTCTTGTTTCAATCTAAAAAAATATGTATCCGGTAATAAAAGTGATTTCAACCTAAAATGTTACCATGAGTTTAGATATTTTTTTTCATTTTAGAAATTAGGGTAACAATTTTAGGTTGAAACCTTTTTTCTTACTGAATACATAACATTTTAGGTTGAAACTAAAATATTACGATGTTTATAATAAATAATTTAATTTGGTTATATTTTAAGTTCAAATCTAAAAAGTTACCATGAGTTTAGACATTTTTCCATTTTATATTGAAACCATTTTTCTTACTAAATACGTAATTTTTTTAGGTTTGAACCTAAAATGTTACAATGTTTATAATAAATTCTGTAGCTTGGATAACTTTTTTACGTTCAGACCTAAAAAGTTACCATGAAATTTAGAGTTGTTTTTCATTTGAGAAATAAGGGTAACAATCTAGGTTAAAACCACTTTTCTTATCTAATATATAACTTTTTAAGTTAGAATCGTGTAACATTATAAGTTGATAACCTATGACTCATCTTTTTCGGTTTCTCTCCCTGTTTTTTAATTAAGGGTCCTTGTTCTATCCTTAAAAAAAATCCCCATCTAACTACTCAAACTAAGCTTCGTTTTTTTAGTCTTATTTTAATGCGTTTCACCTTAGACTCTCCCCGCCTTACAATGTTGACAAAAGTTAAAATCTTAATTCCATTTCATCCATTTTAGACTCGTGATGAAATGTAATGTGATCTAAGTCCACAATTAGATAATGATTAAGTAAAGTCTACAATAGTAAAAGTCCATAGGATTCTCAAAATTTCAACATTAAAGGCGCAATATATTCTCAAATCAATGGTGCTGCCACACCCAGGGTGTTGTGGTGAAATATTTCATCATTGCCTCTGTTGCACAGGCTCAAAACAACAATGTTCTTTCCAAGGATGGGGAAACCAAGGTCATTTAGAAAAATGCCAACAAAAAAATAAAATAAAATAAAAACAACAATCTCCATGCATTATTATTCTTGGAAATTTAAAGGATCACAAACTATCACTATGCATGATGGTGAACACCATCTGCACTGTCCTTGTTTTTCCGTGCAGCAGCTCTCAATTTACGTTGCTCTTCCTTATAAATTCGATTCCTTCTCTGAAACTGCAATAATTATCAAGATTGAATAGGATGGTTGTCAATATATGAAATGGATCAGAGTACCATTTAATTGAAACAGCCACATTCATCTCTAAGGGTCATGGGATAAAACCAAGAGATCTAAACACAGTATACAAGGCCATGTTGAAAAAATGTAATGTCCAAATTCTATTTACCACTGACCTAAGCTCACTTCTTAGGAGAAGAAGATGTGAAGCCAAAATGACTAAATATACACAGCTCATTTATCCTTCATGATTATGTATTCAAACTGCCCTCAATAGTAAAGCCATTAAACAATATCAGACGCATATTGGGCTTTTCTGCATAAATCACACTTATCAACACGAAACATCATTACATCATGTGATACTATTTCAAAAATTACAGAAAAATAGTATATTCTAAGGAAAACCACAATCATAGATGGTATAATTCCAAATTTCCAATATACTCATAAAAATGTATGAAGAAAACCGCTGCAAGGTCACAGCCATAATGATCCAGATATCAGGTGTCGTAGCTATAATTCCCTTTGAACTAAACACTCTGGTTTGCAGGATATTAGTAAAAATGTGGGTGGGAAAGCATATATTTATCGATTTACAACAGCATTACATGATATTGCTGACTATATATGTTTAATTTATCAGCTAATACCTGTAGAATGCATTATGTACCAAAAGAAGTTGACTTTGAACTTTCTATGCTGCTGGAGCTTATATGAGTTATATTACAAGTAAAGCATATCCCAGAGACAACTCAAGATCCTGTATATTACTTCATATCTTCCTTTTTGTCCCTAATTTTAAGTTGATTTTACACTTCATCTTCTTGAAAACTGGTTTATACGGAAACAAATTTGGCAGATTCCCTTTCATAAGAAATAAGATTGCAAAAGAAATGAAAGAGTAGAGAAATAGAAAATGACATCAAATAATTCAATTCTGGTTCCAGAAAGTAATTGATGACTACGAGGAATGAAATTATAAATGAAAAGAGCAATTCTGCAGAGAAGTATTGACAAAAGCTTAATGTATTTGGAAATCAGATTACCTATTACCATGAAAGCATCAAAATAAATACAAGGTAAATGAATTCTCAAAGTAATAAAGCTAGCTATAACCAGATTATAATTCTTAAGCAGCACTATGATTATCAATATGGATCCAACTTGTTTCTTTTCTAAAATCAGGGAAAACCAGAAGCTAAGGATGATATAGAATTACTTTCAAAACAAACAACACAACACTACTCATTTGCAAATGATTGCCGCGAGAAACTAATTGATCTGATTCCAGCACATTTTGAAGCTTTCAGGATTCGCAGTGTGTGAAATTCAGTGCGTTCAAGAGTCGAAGATCAATATTTAACAAATCGTGAAATTCGAATACAAGAAACAAAATAATTTAGCTCATAAACTACATCTAGATTATGTTAATCATAGTTAATGCAATATATCGTGAAATGATCTAGGAATAGTAATTAGACACTCCACAGGAAATCAGATTAGAAATTAGGGTTTTAGGGCATTTCAACGGCGAAAATTAAATGAGTAAATCATGGAATCGAATCGAAGTGAAAGAAAATCAGTCAAAGGAAATTGAAATCGAAGAAATACCTCTTTGGAATGGTGGAGGCATTCGAGATAGTCTTCGCGGAGGAGAGCGCAGTCCTTGGGCTCTCTGCAACGGGACATGCACTCGCTGAAGTCAACCCAGAAATCGTAGCACCTGCCTTTGGTGCCATTGATTCCCCAACCAGATGCCATCTCTCTCTTCCTCTTTCGGACCTGCCTTTGGTGAACTCGACTAAAATGTTTCAATTTGATTCTGTGGAGAAAGTGATACTAAACACTCTTCGTTATTCACAATTTTTTAGGGTAAACTACATTAGTGACAACTTAACTATTACCATATTTCATTTTGACTATCGATATTTCGATTTAATCAATCAATCCATTAACTTTTAATGGAGATGTGCCAAGATAGTTAAAAACACTGGTATAATTATATATTTTATCTTTAATATTTATACATTATATCAATTTGGGCATAATTTATTTTAATTAAAATAAATTTAATCTCCAATTAGATGGTGACATGTGTCACTATCTAGTTGGAGGATATTTTCTTAATTGATTAATTTATTTAATATATTTATTTTTCCTCCAAAAAGGTGGACCAAATAATTAAAATAAATTATGTCCAAATATAATGTATAAATATTAAGGATTAAATATGTAATTATACTAAATTTTTTAACTACCATGTCACATCATCCGTTAAAAATTAAAAGTCAATGGCTTGATCAAAACATTTAAATAGTTGGATGATTTGATTAATTAAATCAAAATATCGGTAATCAAAATGAAATATTACAATGAATAAGTGATCACCAGTACAATTCACCTTTTTCTAGGGTAAACTACATATTGTGTCATCCACCTATTACTCCATTCGTCCCATTATTTTTATCCCCGTATTAATCAAGTACATTGTTTCATGAGGTAAATTTGACTAGATGCAAGTCATATAAAAAAAAAGAGAAATAACAAAATTATCCTTAAAAAATAATTGATAGATTTGTCAAATTTATTTTAATAGATGTAAAAGAATGTAACATGTAAGGGTAAAAAAAAAAGAAATGTAAGTCTTGTTATTTGTTGACTTTTTTAATAAGATATTTTGAATGAGAGAATTTTAAAATCTAAAAAGGACACATTTGAGTCATAACTCTATTTTGGTATACTTGATATGTTATTATGAATGTGTTATGAGGAGCTTCCCATTTTGTAAACTTATTATTTATTATCGTTAAACTTATAGTTTTATTTTGATTATAATGAGTACACTAATCAGATATAAGTAAATATTTTTAAAAAAATTAATCACTTCAATGATTTCGTGTAACACTCAAATCTTTTATATTCGTCATATTAGGGTGTTACAATACATTATACTTGTGGTTCTTTAGTTCACCTCTTTGAATCGTGTTAATTGTCAACGCTGTGCCTACATAACTGTATGCGTTTCTCTTTGGCTTAATTTTTCTCCTGGCTTGTTGCTTCAAGAACCGAATACCTTTTCCTCCGGACTAGATGCACATTCAAAAATGGAGATTATTTGGGAAAACTCATTCTCTGATCAGAAACCCCACTATAGATGTCGCCGTAAGAAAAACGATTATAGGATGGTTGGTTCCCTGAGGTAATACAACATGCTCCCCTATAGAGTTAATACATGGTAAAAGCATTTGTTGTATTCTTCTGGATTGCTACTTTACAGTGATCATAATATATCAATAAACTTACAACCTTGTGCTGTCAAAAAGATTTTCCCCCCGATTTGATGAGTGCAGACATTCTTGAGGGTCTCAACAGAACTGCTTTCATGCAATAATCTATAATTTAAGCATGTGTAGAAGGTTTTGGATGCTTTCATGCAATACTATTAAAGTAAATTTTCTGTACATAGGACAACAAATTATGAAAAAATAAATTCTAATTACACTTACATTACATGCATCAACTTGTAGAGGTGAATGACTGAATTTGTCAAGGCTTGAATTCCAATATTTGTTTCATGTGCTATGTGAACAACTCATAGTCATGATATTGCTTGATGACAATTTGGTTAGGGACCAAGTATATATGATCGTGAGTCAAGGAAAAACTTGATGAATGCTAATGGAGGTCATGTTCAAGAAATGTCCTCATTTGAGACGTTTGAGCGTCTATTAGTGTCATAGCTGGTAAATGTTTTTAGCTCTTTAAGAGGAAGTGATTAGATGTAAGTCTCCACCATCCCATCACCTTAAGCTAGCATGTGGAGCTACCATGGTGTAAACGATCTACTCTTATGCTCATGTGGGGTTTAGATATGCAAACATTTGGATCAAGTAGATGATACAATATTGTCTCTCTCAAGGAAATACTTAAAGATGGTTTGGGGCTAGTGGGCTTCATATCACATTATTTATTTAAGAATGAGGTTGGATTCTAGCTTTCGTTAGGCCTCATGAGATATCCCATTCAAGAGTATTTATGTCTTTGGGGTCATATTATGACTCTTGACTAATATATGACTTGTATATTTGAGATTGACTAATGAACTGAGATAATATCTCTTGTCAAGCATGTCATGACTTTATAACAGGTTTATTTAAGACAATGATCATTGAGGGAAAGATTCACTTATTTAGAAAATATTTCATTCAATTACCGTATGATATAACGATGTGACTGAGATATTGCATCCGTGACACTAAACTCTTTAGATGGTTTGCTTAATGATTGCCTTCACGCTATATAAGCCGGACGAATAAAGTCATTTGAAATATCCAAACACGCCTTAAACTTAATAAATCAAATGTCGTAATTAACTTTTTTGACTTAAAGAAAATTTTGTTATTAGTTTATATACTATGTGTAAATAAAAAATTTAATTCATATTCTTTGATTTATTTATTTCTAATTAATATAATTTTAATTATATCATGATTTTCTTATATTGTTTAGGTCAAAATTAAAATTTTATAATTTAAAAGTAAAGATGATGATTAAATTAAAATATAAAAACTAAAAAATATACAAAGTAGATAGACTTTTAGCTAAAAAATGCTCTCAACGCAAGGTAACCCTAGCGTGCCGTCAGGGCCAAAAAATTATGATTATCCCGGTGGCCGGCCACCGGAAACAATTCCCTTTATTCCATCCACATCTGTGAAGGAAAGACCAGCATCTCCGTCGCTGGGGGATGAGCAATGTTTGTCAAAGAAGGGTGGTGTGTAACCGAAGGAGAAGAGCGTGTGGAGTATTCTGCGATGGATGCTGATATTGAGATTGAAGTTACTGCTATCACGGACTGGGAATAACAGGGTTATGGATAGGATGGGCGATGGGGTGAAGAACCATCTTGAAAATAGTAAAGCTTCCTACGTTACTATTGTTTCTACAGGCAAGCAGTAGGCCGATGGGGAAAGTGGGGCGAATGGTTTCATGGAGGATGAAGTGATTATTCTGGAGGAGGATATCATTATGGATAGAACAAGTGTTATCCCGTCAATACAGTTTTCTGACAGGGTCCACGACCAAATTGATAAAATACGCGTTAGGCTATTATCGTTCGTCTTCTAGGACGTACAATCGGCTTCAAAACCATGGTGACTCGTATTTAGGCAATTTGGAAACCAATTGGGGAACTTCAAATTGTTGAACACGATAATATTTATTTTCTTGTGCATTTTATATACTGATGAAAAAGATTTTACAAAGGTACTCACTAAAGGATCGTGGATGATATGTGGTTGTTATCTGACTGTGCAACCTTGGAGTAGATTTTTCAAGACCTCCGAGAAGCACCCTTCACATGTGATTGTCTAGGTGAGACTTCCTGGATTACCGTATCGCTATTATACTAAGTCTTTATTTCGACACACTGCTTCATTTATTGGTAGGGTTGTTAAAATTGATTATAACACTGACGCATTGTTTTGAAAATCGGATCGGACCGGCCAGTTCAACCGATTCAACTGGGAACCGTTGTCTAGTCTGGTTCAAACTAAACCGGTTGAACTGCTACTAGTGAATCGACCAGAATCGTTGAACCGTTCGAGCCGGACTGGCTGAAAACCGGAAAAAACAGCCAATTTTGTTTTTTTTTTAAAAAAAAAAATAAACCAAACGACGTCGTTTGTTAAACGAGCCAAGTCGAACTCGAGTATTGCTGAGCTCGACTCAAACTTTAAAAGTAAGCTAAACTCGACTCAAACTTTAAAAGTAAGCTCAACTCGACTCAAACTCACGAACTAAAAATTATCAAGTTCAACTCGAACTCGAAATATAATATTGAAACTTGAACTCGAAAAGGCTTGAACTCAAAAAAAATTTAGAAGCTCGATTAAAGCCTAAAATTCGAGCTTGATTGAAGTGAAAGAATAGTTCACTCCATGCTCACCAAAAGTCTCCATGATTTTGAATGTCAAATTACCTCTATTATTTATAGAAGTTAGTTGGGATGCTCTTCTATGTTTCTTAGCCATGTGTGATTGTTTTGTTCTCATATTTTTACTCTTTAGACTTTTGGGATGTTCTTCTATATTTCTTAGCCACGTGAGATTGCTTTTTTAAAAAAAAATTAAACCAAACAATATCATTTTGTTATGATTTTTTAGCCCCAAATTTATTTTTTAATTATATTTATATAATTATATTTATTATTTAATATGTTTTACCTTAAATATTATGTTGTAGTTAATTTGAATCATTTTGTTTCACTTGATTTTATGGTTTTTAACTCATATATGTTATGACTTATGATATACAAAATTATTTTTTATTAAATATTTTTGGTATTTTTATTTAATTTTTTAAATAATTATGACGTCGTCCGGTTCTTCTGACCGGTTGAATCGGTTCGACCGATTGAACGAGTGAACCGATAGCATGACCGGTTCGCTAACCGGTCCGGTTCTGAAAACCATGCACCGACGGTGGGGAGCGTGGGAAATTTGCGAGATTAGCGGTTCTTGTTGATCTTAGTAAACCGTTGTTGTCTTGTACTTGCATTGACGACACTATTCAAAAGCTGGAGTACGAGGCTTACAACAAGCTTGTTTTGCCTGTGGTGTTTACGGTCATACGAAGAATAGTTGTGGTTTGAATAAGGCGGTTTCAGAGGTTTCCGATGGTAGTGAGCGTAATCGCATTACCCCTAATGTCCCAGAAAAGACAGAACTCTCCGAAGATAATCTTTTTGGGCCCTAGACGGTTGTTGATTCTAGATGCCACCGTGCTGGGTCGAATAGCATTCCTTC